GAAAGATGTCGCACCGGGAACTTGGCCATTCAAAAAATCACTCGTCTTTATCAGACTTTCATGGAAGACGTAAGTCTGAGCGGAGATACGCAAATTTTCTCTCGTCACTTACCAGCACTTACAATCAATCAGTTTGGTCATCAGACAGCTGCATAAATCAATAAATCATTTTATCGTGTACAGTTAACTCTCCAGCCGACAGCCACTCCCATCAAATAGAATGCTTGCCACCCAGTTGACTGTAAGCAATTATTAAAAATTGTGAGAATAAACACAAGGAATTATTTGTGTGGCGGTTCATCAAAATGGGTAGTGGATCCACAGTTAGAAATCGGACAAGTGTTATGTCATGGAATAAAATATGATGGTCATTGCGCTTATATNATGGTCATTGCGCTTATATAAAACTCAAGAAGAGAAATATTAGTCTTCGTCTCATGGGATTAGGTGTAAAATAATCATGCAACAGAACGCCTCAAGTAACTGAAGGCTATCGTAGATGAGCCGGGAGATGAGGTAGTAGGCATTGAACACAGAAGTCACAAAGTGAAGCGCACTCACAAGTTAATGCCCCGCTAACTCATTAAAATAATGTTCAAACAGGAATATACCTTTTTACAAGAAAAAGTTTGGTCGACCGTTTCTCTTCAGTCAACCCTCTGGCTCGTATCTTTTCCCCTGATTACCAAATTGTTATTCACTTTGGCTCTTTATCAGAGCGGGCCTTTAATATGTAGGCATTCATAATGTTGCGTTAGAAAGCCTAGCATGCACTTGCAGTGAACTGTTAAGCATTCGACGTGTGTGACATCTCGTCGAGTGCAAATTCAGGATGCTAGTGGTGTGAACCACAGAACTGCCCCGGATGTTTCCTTGAGATACTTCTTTCACACATCAGGAGACCACATACTTGTTCATCTGGTCAACGTGAGGAGTGTATCGTACTGAAGTATAAAACAAAAATCCGACTAGTTCACGGGATTCTCATCAACAGCCCTCTAAGTATGTCACTGCTCTATTGATCGACCAATATGCGAAACTAACACAATACCCGGTGTTTTGTCATCATCTTGACGTAAGCGCGCTTATGACTAGTGTTCTGCGAACAGACGCAGGGTTAGTATTGTGCGGTAAGCTGATATCAGACACAGTATAGTATTTACTGTCGTTTACCAGCCACTGGTGGTTGTTTAAAAGCTCATCGGCATTGAAAGATGAAGAATCAGTCGATATCACATAGGATGACTCACGTCTTGTAAGCGAACGCCACAAGTTCCTAGATGATCTGAAGTACTGCAATGTCTGTGCTACTGATTCATAGGGCTCGGACCCGGAAAGCTCCTCGGAATTCACTTTCTGTCTCTCTCCCATGTCCCAGATCATAAGGGACGGCAAACCATGATTTGGTCTAGTTCCGAAGTTACTCTACGCAATTAGTCTGACTGAGAACTGTTTGCATATTTCTACGATTGTAAGTGGCAAAATAAATAAAGTGGTTGTTGTCGAAAACACTGCGCAGCGTTTTGCCAACGATAAATGAATAAAAATATATATGAGAACCACACTTCGAGGACTATAGGCTGTACACTGTATTCCTCGGCAATTTTCGGTGGACATTTCATGTCATTCTGTCGTCCTGTGATGGTATGGTAATGAGAATTCTGCTCCAAATGATTTTCATAAGCGTGCATATCTCGTTGGATCATCAGCACAGCGATCGATCTACGACTGGATCATATGTGGGTAGGTTCTCCTTATCGTTGGCTTTTCTGTGCCCAGATATAGTTGCTTGATTTTTCTTTTAGACACCGGTGAAAATGTCGACCGATGGTTGTGTTCGATTCTGTGACTCGTACGGACTGGTTTGTCCTCCGTCCAGACCCGAGTACGTGGCATTGGGCTGGAGTAACGAAAGGCCTCGAACCATGTTGGCAGCCGATTGTGAGTCGAGTATGGAAGCACGAGAGGTGCTTGTTACAGATGGCAACGCGGTTACAGCGTCCACGTGTATTCAAGCTGTGGCCAGATCAGTCTTTCAGGTCTACAGGTTAGATCGATCAGATCAATAAAATCGATCTCACGCGACCACTATTTGGAAATAAAAACATCATTCTCATTTGCATATAGTATGATAGTGTTTCCATAGTAAATTCTACCAGTAAGTTAAACGATTTAGCAGTAATTAAATGAATCGAAAATTCCTTTAAAAACTGAAAGGAATTATTTTATAAAGTCGAATTACTTTTGTTCAGCAGTCTCTAGAACTGTCGTATTTGTCTTGCTTTTTAAATGATGATGTATCAAGATATCCTGTAAATGCATTCACCACTTTAATGTGAATCAATGTTACGAAAATGGCTCAATAGCGTTTTAGCAACGTGGTATATGAAGTAGTATTTGATACATACAGGAGCATCAGGAATTCTCGCACGTCAAATGGTCATATTCTCAAACGGCCCAAATCAAATTCTCAGTCTCACAGCCGCGGAACAATCCGTAGCCAAAATTTACAGATCATTAGCATAAAGTTCCGCGTAGCTTGAACCAAGCTCTGGTGCACACGAGGACAGGCACACAGTTTCTCTGCTATTAGTGCGCGTGCGTGTGTGCATCTGTGCTTTGACTGTAAAGCATATAGTAGGGAGATATTCTGGGGACAACCAGATCGACGTGGTTGACACCAGAACGTGTTTCAAGCTACACAAAAATCTACGCTGCTGACCTGTAATTTTTAGTTGCTGGTTATCTGCAATAGTGGAACTGAGAATTTGGCTTGGGCCGCTTGGGGATTTGACTAATTAGTGCACAAGAATTGCCGATACATCTGTATATTTACACCCATTTAATCTTGAGCAGGGCAAAACAGATACCTTTAGGTAATGAAGCTCCATCGCAGATTATTTATAAATACACTTGGCTTACCACAAGCCGNNNAAGCCGTAAATTTTGAATGAAAAGATCCAATAATCCACACTGATTACAATTTGAAGTTCCCAGTGGATAAGGTCATCGGGAACAACCATGTGTTCGAACCCTGCCACCGCCACCCATCTTACCACCATTTTTATTTACCCAAATATTCCCTGTATGACTGTGACCTCCTTCCTGAAAAGTTATTGTATGTTTCTATGTTTCAGTAAACAAGAAGGGAAGTAAAAACATTTCTCGCATGATTTATGACAATGTAGATGATTTTATTTAACTCATAGCTTCGATCTAATACATTTTCTACATCAAAACACAATTTTATGTAACAAGTCCCCAGGCTGTGCCCGACGGTTGTGTGGTTAAATACGGAATGCCGGTACAATTACGTTTGGCTAATCCACGTATCAGTAACCAACCGGTTTACCTGGCCAGCGATAATGCCACACCTATGTCAGCCAGTTTGAAAGCGAATCACCAACGTGTTTTCCTCACAACCGACAAAGACAGTTTCCTGACCCATTGGCGTATTGAACATCTGGATCCGCAATTACGATTGGAAACGGAAGGTTGTCCCGTTCCGGTGAGTTAGTATTTATCTTTCAAATTATGGCTTGTTAATCCATCGTACTACATGTATGATTAATGATGCTGAGATGAGAATGAACGCAGAGAAAACATCTCCTTTGCACGTGTATTACAGTCTGATCATTACCCATCACATGATTTTCGAACCTGATATGTATTGAACACAGCCAGAAAATTAGATGATGGTATACGGAATGGCAAGTCTGATATGACCTTTGGTTGTGGTAAAGCTCGATTCTTAGAACTTCCGGATTATCATGGTGGTGATACTAAATAAAATCTATTTACAACATTTGCTTGAACAGGCGGTTCGTCGGTTTTGCGAATGGGCTGCCAAGATAACGATTAGAAGCACTAGACAACACGTTTTATCTTGACCAACCACTCGTCCCGAGCTCCTCTAGAAATGCTCCGAAACAATTAAGCGCCTCAAATAGCTTATGCTGAGGAAGTCCCACCCTCTGCCTTCGCGAGGCGATGTTAACACTCAAGTGTAAAGGTCAAAGGCGAATGCCCGGCGCTTTTCATCGGGTTGACTGACCACTGACAGTCGGTCTAGAGGATTACAAACCAGCCACACTTGGCGTAAGAAGCTCATAGTGACACCAATCCTCGGTACAACCGAATCGGTTTCCAAAGTTCACCTTTGGAGTCAACCACCGTCACACTCACTGGCAAGTGTGCCACATCCGAAAGGTGTATGAACCGGCTCCCAGAGGATCGTGGACTCCCTACTCCACCACACTTCCTTGTGGGTCAGGTTCTTTGACCAAAGGCTCCGGGTAGGGTCCACAAGAAAACCCTCTACTTCGGTCTGAGTTACCGAGTAATAACACGCCCACAATATAACCATGGACTTATGCATTCATACACATCTCCGATTCTCAGACTCATGCAAAACTTGCTGTTCTCAAGATCTGCACACAGCACTTCCACTCGTTTCCCACACATTCCCACTATTACGCTGTATATTCGATCTCGAATGGATTCACTGGCGTAGGTTCATGTTGTAGCTCGCCACTATCTTCCTCGACATTTGTCTCAGCAATGCTATGTCACTCGGAGCCGGCTCTTCTATTCCTCCGACCTCACTCTGCGTTCAAACTGGCTTCGTTCAACGTAAGAACTTTTGTGCGTATAGGACAACAAATAGGCCTGAATTGTGCGTTAGAAAGCCCAGATATTGATGCGTGTTGCCTCTCGGAAACATGCATTCAATATCTGAGCTCAGTGATCCAATTAATATCCCTCCGATCCAAAGTGTTTCAACTGCGCATTTCCTGGGTCTCTGTCGCATCAGTGTCTGGTCAAGCTATTGGCTATGGATGGAGAGGATGTGTGAAAGACTGCCGTTTGTATTGGTCTACCTGCTTGGGCTCCGACCCTGCACTGGTTTTTGCCAAGTTGTCTATGCGATTTGGTTGCCGCCAAGTTTTCTGGCCTGGTCGTACTAGCCAACTACCAAAACGAGTTGGCCACAAGGTTAACTATTACCCCACCGAGAAGCGTAGATCAACATTGGATAACCATTCAAAACGCAATGCAATCAGCCAGTTTACACAGTTGTGACCTGACGCGTCGAGTTGTAAGACACTGGTTCTCATCCAACTCTCTCAACCTTCCTAATGCGCGTCGGGAAATCCCGGCTAACAGTAAGTACACTGAGCAGTGCGTCTCTCTGAAGCGTGAAATCATAAAGATCTTGAGAGACAATCAAGAAGCCTGGTGGACGCTAGGTGCAAAGGAAACGGAATCAGCAGCTATGTGGAAACACCCGGCAAATCTTCCAGCTCATCAGTGCCACGGGCCCCAAAAGATTGCGTTAGTTAAACAATCTGCAAAGTAAAGGTGACACCAATATACAGTCCTCACACACGCTTGGAACGCTGGGCAAAGCACTCTACATTGCAGTTCAACCGCTTCGGCTGTCTCAAATAGTTCTCTTCAGAGTGCACCGTGGTCACTATCCACGGAACCACCCACAAAAGCGGATATCCGAAACGATCTCCAAGGCATGAAACGCCACAAGGCGGTTGGATCAAACGACCTAACACCTGCCTTCTTCAAATATCTTGAAGAAGCTCTCGTGAAACTGTTCCGAAAGCTCTGGGAAACTGAAAGTGTACCCCACACATGGGAAGAATTGATTGTTACACACTCCTACAACTTCACAAACACGGGGGTATATGTCTAATTTCAATGCCACCGAAGCTGTTGGCTTGCGTTTTATTACGCACACAAAACCTATTTCGTGAAAGAAAAGACCACGAAGACCAGGCCTGGTTTCGCGTACACTGTGGCCACATAGATCAAATATTCACCCACCGTCAGCAGTCAGAACACCACCACACATACGACTAACTATGAAAAATCAGACTGGCCGTCAACTCCATCGATAGCACCGCACTATGGAACTGTTTGCAATTTCGCTGAGTACCCGAAAATTACGTCCTGCTTCAAAAAGCACTACTGACAGATCTCGAGTAAGGTTAGGGTCTATAGTGAACTTTTATCCTTATTTCCCGTCAGCAGTGGAGTACGATAGGTTTTTTTTATTACACACCTTACTGTGCTTGAAACGGTATGTATGCAGAGTTCGATCGTGTGCTCTGTGTGTTGATCATGGAGGTTCATCTTCTTCCCCCTCCGTCAAAATATGTTCAATCCCTGTCCACCTTAGAACTACTGCTAACCTTGTATGCATTGCAAGTTTGGCAGGGATCAATGAAGATCGCTACTCTGTATTTCACTGTACGATGATGATGATGACATCCTAGTGTGATAAACAGCAGACTAGGCGAACTCCACAGTAGCGAAGACCTGCTACTCAACGTTGGAAACCGGTAACTTAAATAAGGTTAGGCGTGGTATTCAGCCGGACAATAGCAAATCCCTATCTCTCCGTTTCTCTTCAAATTTGCCATAGACAATGTTCCACAGAACGCGTTACATAACGTAACGAATGCTGTAACAATGTCTGCCACACAGTGCGCTATTGTTAAACATTGGCCCGCGTTGAAAGAAACGACGAGATGGGGATGCTATGACGTGGCACAGAGGGTTAAACAGATTGTGTTCGGATATGGCTTTCGTTGGGGCTTCCCAGACCTCCGGCTGGGGCCCTAAAGATTCAGATTGTCTTCGGCTGGATATAGCACCGAATATACGCCAATGGTTTGAATGCATCTTTTCTTGAGTGAGATCCCAAAAGTAAAACAAAAAGTCAAAATGGAGAGCATGACCCACCGATCTGTCAGTAACAATTTGGTACATTGAAATCTTTACGCACATTCAGGCGGGAATTTCAGTACATTAACATTGGGATGGAAACTCCTAAGAGTGGTACAAAGTGTTTTCCACCGACTTATTGCGCTGCACAAATGCAGTCTTACACTAGAGTATTTAATGCATGAATTCAGCCCTAATTCAGTTGCTCCTTAAAAGAGAGCTGGGTGTCGTAGGAGGTCAAATGGCCGGAGTACTGTAATCTTCTTTATTCACGGGTGTTCGTGCCCATCACCAATCAAAATTAGTATAAATAACCCCTCGCCGAGCACACACCTTGGTTTCATCAAATATTTCTATATCTACATCGCTGTTTGACGCTTAAATCGTGAATATATAGCGGGGGACGTGGGACCTTAGTACCGGCCCAATAAGAATAGTATTAGTTTAGCTTTTGTGGTCTGTATTTGGTGAACGGAATTCAGATTAAGGCAGCATATATTATTACTGTTGTAGTGCATGGGGAAATATAATTACCAATTACAATTTGGTCCATCTTATACTGATTATTGACTCTTTAGGATGCTCCACGTACTTACCTTATCNTATCTTTCTAATTCCTTCCCTATTTTGCGTACAGTGTGATACTTTAGTCGTGATTAAACACTGTCGTACGAACGCAGCTCTCGCGGTGGAGGACAGATTCTCTAAAGAGTAAGTTAAAAACAGACAAACAAACCAGATAATGCTTTATCTCGTCTCCCTTTGGTTCGGAACATTTGTCACTCAACATCTCGATACGTTTGAAGTCCTAATTGGAACTTGTTCAATTGGAAAAAGTTACAAGTGAAATGGAAGCACTAAGGGAGCGGTTGACGGATGAAATAGTCTAGGTGAACAGTTTTTAGAGTAGACTGCAGGCCACAAGTGAATCGGACGGAAGATGAGTAGTATTTCACATCTATTTTACACCCCGAGAAATGATTCAATCGTTCAATAACTGTGTATCCATCTCTTTCGCTGGGTCAACTTAGTTTGTCACAAACGGACAGACACAATACTCAGTTTATCCAATCAAGCATAGACTAGCAAACATCAAGAGTTAAGTCTCGCTCTTCGCAGAGCTCACGGAACGTGCAAATTCATAAGCCCCTCCGGCATTCGAACTTTGGACCCCTCCCACGGAATGTGTTACCACTGTGACCATCGGCTCACACCTGAGCTGACCAGAAAGGCCGGTAGTACATGAACACCACATAACAGATATCAAGTTACACGGTGTTCAAGAAAACTCATGGACATCAGGTTCAGTGTGTCGTTTTAGTGTACCTGATACGGCCTTGTCTTCAAGATGCCGGCCATCAAGAACCAGCTTAAGAGGATGCTTCGGCCCCAAACCTTGAGGTTCGCCGTTCGAGTACCAAGTACTTAATGCAATGTGTCCCAACAAGAACAAAACAGGGATCTATAACTCTTGGTCATCGAATACATGAATACATGTGGTAGATGTTAAGCCTTTGCAATGCATCTGCGTCCTTCTTTATTCGAAGCACTCCTTAAATCGGGAAAAGTCCAACGTGAACCACTACAAAACATTCAGTGGTTCATAAATACAAGTCTGATGCAGAATTCCACAATTTGAAGGCACGGAGCAAATGTAGAATAGTCTCACGGTTTTTTGGAAGCTTGTGAAGAGTATTTCGCGAACGCCGACACATACGAATAGAGAAACGACGAATTTCTCCAATTCCAACGATCAGATGTTTTGCAAGGCCTGCT